CCTTCCCCTCCCCCATTTCTGAAGAAGGGTCTAGGCCCGAAAGGTCAGCCTTCCTGCTCCTCTGATGCTGCTTGGCTTGCTGTGTTCATCCGGCTCTACACCTTGTTATCTCAGATTCTCCAGCATCTGCAGTTCCTACTATCTCTGAAACATTTGTTAATGGAAGTTTGTTTTTGACTTTCGATTTTTGAGGAGGAAACAGGAAATGTTGATGAGGGTAACGCATTTGATGTTGTCTACATGGACTTTAGCAAGGTTTTTGATAAGGTTTCTCATGGCAAACTTGTCAAGAAAGTAGGAGCTCCTGGGATCCAAGGCAAAGTAGCATCTTGAATCCAGAGTTGGCTGATAGGCAGAAAGCAGTCTCTGAGAGAGGGATGTTTCTGTGACTGGAAGTTTGTTTCCCATAGGGTTCTGCAGATCTTGGTGCTGGACCCCATGCGATTTGTGGTGTACACTAATGATGTAGACAAATGTAGGGGGCATGATCAATAAGTTCATGTTTAATATAAAAACCAGTAAGATGGTAAATAGTGAGAGGAACAGCCATACATTGTAGGAGGATATCACAAACTAGTGGGCGGGGCAGAGCAGTCGCAAATGGAGTTCAATCTGCAAAATTCACTTGGGGAGGCAGGAAAGAAAAGGATTATACTGTAAACAGTAGGACCTTGGAAAGTTCTGAAGTTCAGAAAGACCATGGTGTGCATGTCCAGAGATCCCTGAAGGTAGCGGGGCGGGTAGATTATTTGGTTAAGGTGTCATATGGAATACTGCTTTCATTAGCCAAGGCATAAATTACAAGATGCAGGAAGTTGTGCTAGAAATTGTAAAATGCCAATTAGGCTACGACTGGAATACTGCTGGTCAGTCAGTAGGTGATTACACTGGAGAGGGTGCAGGGAGATTTACCAGTCTGCTCTTTGGGCTGTGGATGGTCTGAGCTACAAGGAAAGATTGAATAGGCTGTGGTTGTTTTCCTTGGAATCATAAAAGGATAGCAGTGTCTAAGTTTCTAAGGAACATAGGGTGGCTAGGTAGTCACTTTTTCCATTAGTAAAGGAGTCAATACCGAGGGAACATAAACTTAAGGCAAGAGGTAGAGAGCTAAGAGGGCAAACTCTTGTAACATTTATGCAGTACCTGGATACTCGCTTGTGTTGCTATAGCCTCCACCTTCTGTAGTTTCCGACAGTCCTGGGCAGAGCAGTTACCGTACCAGGCCGTTATGCACCTGGACAGTATGCTTTCACTGGTGCATTTGTAGACATTGGTGAGGGACCTTATGGACATGTGAAATTTCCTGAGCTGCCTGAGGATGAAAAGGCGTTATTGTGCCTTCTTGACCATCGTATCTACATGGAAGGTCCAGGACAGGTCATTGGTTATCGTCACTCTGAGGAACTTGACACTCTCCACCCTCTCAACCTCCATTCTGTTGATGTAGATGGGTGGGCATATTCTCCTCCTTTCTTTCTTTCTGAAGTCAATGAGCAGTTCTTAGTTTTGCCAACGTTGAGAACAAAGTTGTTCTCGTTGCACCATGTGACTAAGTCCTATATCTCCCTTCTGTAATGTGACTTGTTGTTAGATGTCCATCCTACTATGGTGGTGTCAGCAAACTTGAAGATGGTGCTTCTTTGGAATTTGGCAACAGTTGTAGGTGTACAGGGAGTATAGTAGAGGATGAGGACACATCATTGGGGCGCTCCAGTGTTGAGTGTTAGTTATGGAGGAGGTGCAGTTACCTATCCTCACTGATGACGGTCTGTGAGTCAGGAAGCTGAGGATTTAATTGCAGAGGGCGGAGTTTTGAGATCCATCTGGAGGGGATAATGGTGTTGAACGTGGAGCTGTAGTCAATGAGCAGGAGTCTGATGTAGGTGTCCTTGTTGTCTAGATATTCTAGGGATGAATGCAGGGCTAGGAATATGGCATTCTCTGAGGACCTGCTATGTCGGTAGGCAAATTGTAAGGGATCGAGGCAGTTTGGGAGACTAGAGCTCAAAGCACTTCATAACTATTGAGGTCAGAGCCACTGGGTGATAGTCACTAAGGCACACTGCATGTGATTTCTTAAGTACTGGGGCGATGGTCTTCTGGAAGCCGTTAGGGACTACGGCTTGTAGTGGGGAGAGGTTGAAGATGTCGGTGAATACCTCTGCGTAGGATCTGAGTGCTCAGCCGGGGACACCATCCACGCCTGTCACTTTCCTTGGATTGACTCCCAGGAAGACTGATCTGACTTCTGCAGTGGTGAGCGAGGGAACAGGTATGTCCGGGACTCTCAGGGCAGTGATGCCTGCCTTGCTGGCATTCTGCTCCAACCGAACGTAAAGTATTGAGCACATCAGGGAGGGGTGAATTGGCCATGCTAAATCGCCCAGAGTGTCCAGGGATGTGCAGGCTAGGTGGGTTAGTCATGGGAAATGTTGGGTCATGGGGATAGGGTTGGGGTCTGGGTGGGATGTTTATTTTGGAGGGTCAGTGCAGATTTGATGTGTCAAATGGCCTCTTCCTGCACTGTGAGGATTCTATGATTCTAATTACCAGTTTGCAGAAATTCTACTTGGACATTCCTAATTCATGCTTGCCTCAAAATTCTTGAACTCTGCTAAGGTTTTAGACATGAATAAACTCCTATAATTAACTGGAGTTACATTTTCAGAAAGAAACACATTTTTGGAAAAGATCTCAGAAACCTTAATATCTTCAAATCATTAGTTCCAACAATGTTCATGTTTCGAATGGGATGTTCGGCAGTAGCACCAAAAGAATAGGGATCCTATGGTAACAGTAATGTGAGACTAGCTATGTAGAGGCCAAAAATGGGTTCTTTATTCACTCGAGGGGATCTCTGGCTGGGCCAGCATTTCTTGCCCATCCCTAGTTGCCCTTGAGAAGGTGGTGGTGAGCTGCCTTCTTGAACTGCTGCAGTCCACCTGCTGCACGTAGACCCGCAATGCCCTTAGGGAGGGAATTCCAGGATTGTGACCCAGTGGCACTGAAGGAATAATGATATTTCCAAGCTGGCTTGTTTTTGTTCAGATGTTTCGTCACCATGCTAGGTGACATCAGTGGAGCCTCCGATGAAGCGATGTTATTCTACTCCGTTTGGAATTTATACTGTCCGGTCCGTTATGGTGAGTACTGTCATTTCCAGTTTTGTTCTGTATGGGTTTGTTTATGCGGTCCAATTCTATATGTTTGTTGATTGAAGTATGGGTGGAGAACCATGCCTCTAGGAATTCACATGTGTGTCTATGTTTGGCTTGGGATACTATGGGACATGATGGTGATAGGGTGGGGGATGGGAATTCAGTGATAGTATTGCCATTGACTCAAGGGGCAATGGCTAAATTGTCTCTTATTGGTGTTGGTCATTGCTTGGTATTTGTGTGATGTCAATGTTACTTGCCACTTGTCAGCCCAAGCCTCAATATTGTCAAGGTCTTGGTGCATTTGGGTACATATATTGCTTCAGTATCTGAGGAGTTGTGAATGATATTGAATTTTATACGTCCTTCGGCAAACATTCCCACTTCTGACCTTGTGATGGAGGGAAGATCATTGATGAAGCAATTGAAAATGTTAGGACTTAGGACACCACCATGAGGACCTCCTGCAGAGATGATTTTAAAGAGGTCAGGAGCTGAATCTGAGTATCAGTGAGAGATTACCTTGTCCACTATTACTCTTTTCTCTTTGTCATATATTATAGTAGATAGTTTTGAAATAACCTGTTCAGTGATGTT